TCGTGGCTCCCACGGACCACCACGATTTCGTGGCTCCCACGGACCACCACGATTTCGTGGCTCCCACGGACCACCACGATTTCGTGGCTCCCACGGACCACCACGATTTCGTGGCTCCCACGGACCACCACGATTTCGTGGCTCCCACGGACCACCACGATTTCGTGGCTCCCACGGTCGGCTCCGCCCAAGCGAGGACGGGGCCAAGCACAACTCCCGCGACCTCGAACTGTTTCTTATGACTGATGCCAAAGACAGAGTTTCACTGTTCGATCACGCGTCTGGCACTTCCGTTGCTCCTGCTGACACTGCTGCCGCTCTTGACCGCTCACAGTGGCAGACTCGTGATGCTGCTGCGCGCCTCGCCATTCGCAACCATCTGCCGATCACTGAGCGCGCGCATTTTTGTCAGCACAAGAATGCTAAGGCACTGTATGACGCTGTAGTTGCGCGCTACTCTTCCCCAGCCACTGCAGCCCTAGGTCGCCTCATCCTGCCCTACCTGTTCCCTGACATGTCCTCCTTTGCCACTGCTGAGGACCTCATCTCTCACCTTCTCGCTAGTGACACTCGCTTTCGTGCCGCTCTTCCAGCCGATTTCCTCGCCAAAACCCCCCCCCGCGATGTACTTTACCCTCTACTTCCTCGTCACCCGCCTCCCTGACACTCTTAGCTCAGTCACGGACCACTTTCTCGCCAAAGACCCTACCACTCTTACTGTCGACGACTTCAAGCAGGAGCTCCTAGCAGCAGAAAAGAGCATTCTAGCTGTAGGCAGTGCTCATGGCACTCCACGTGCTCCCCTCTTTGAGGGTTGCTCCCCCTCTCCTCTTGCCCCCTCCTACGCCTCTGCTGAGCAGGTCGCAGCTGCTTCCACTTCTAGTGCGAAACGCCGCAACACCAGGGGCGGCAAGGGAGGCAGGGGTGGTGGAGGTGGCGGTGGAGGAGGCGATGGAGGAGGCGGTGGTGGAGGCGGAGGTGGTGGGGGTGGTCGTGGGGGTGGAGGTAGTGGGTGGGGCGGCGGTGGTACTGGGAGCGGTGGAGGTGGCAGCGGTGGTAGTGGGGGAGGAGGGAGTAGTGGTGGAGGCGGTGGTGGGGACGGGAGTGGAACCGGCCAGAAGGGGGGCTCCAGTGGTGGCTAGGGGCAGCAGCAGCAGCAGCAGCGTCAGCGCCAGACCCCCACTTCTCAGCAGCTTCATGACTGGTATGCCGGGCGTGGGGCGTCTGGGGGTCCTGGTCGCTGCCCCTATATCATTCGCGCAGGTCCCCGCGCCGGTCGCCCATGCAACGGCTTTCACACTGAGTACTGCTGCTTCGCTCGGCTTAGCGACGCCTGGCGCGCCAAGTTTCCTGACGCTACTGAGTTCCCCTACTGGGCAGACCTGCTTAAGCGTGATGTTCCTATCTTTGATCTTGACTATGATGCAATTCTTGCTGCCATATATGCATTGACTGTTAGTGCTGAGGGTGACTGCTACTTGTGTATGCTGCCTGATCCAGGTATAGAGGCTGCAGCCCTAGGTGCTAGTGAGTCTGCTCTCCCTGGTACTGCGTCAGCTCAGGCCTTGCACACCTTTACACTTGACTCTGGTGCTTCCCGCTGTTTCTTTCGCGACAGCACCACAGTCACTCCCCTCCCTACCCTTGTCCCTGTCTCACTGGCTGACCCCTCTGGGGGCCCAGTGCTTGCACGGTCCACTACTGTGCTTCCATGCCCGGCGGTGCCGTCCGGTGAGCTGTCAGGTCTCCACATCCCCTCGTTCTCTACAAACCTGGTGAGCAACGCCGTCCTTCAGGATCATTGGGTTGACACCTTTACTCCTGGAGGACAGCGTGTGGCGATCTGCACCTGCTCTAAGACTGGCCGCCACCTGGCCACGTTCACACGTGAGCCTGGGTCCAATCTGTACACCCTCACCACAGTGTTGCGCTACGTCCCTTTGTCTCCTCAGCTGTATGCGTCCGCTCAGGTAGCCACCCAGTGTAAGTGTCGTCGCATGTCGCACCAGCTTCTCCTTTGGCACCACCGCCTTGGTCACCCCTCCCTGCCCCGCCTTCGTGGCATGCACTCTCGCTCCCTGGTCTCTGGTCTTCCCAGGTCTCTGCCTGCCCTCCCTCCCTCGCCTGCGCCGCCCTATGCTCCTTGCGTCAAGGGGCGGCAGCGCTCCGCTCCTCACTCCTCGTTCCCTCCCACAGAGGCTCCGCTTCAGACTCTCCACCTGGACGTGTGGGGCCCAGCCCGCGTCCAGGGGCAGGGCCGCGAGCAGTACTTCCTGCTGGTTGTCGACGACTATACGCGTTACACCACGGTCTTCCCCTTGCAGCGCAAGGGGCATGTCCCTGCTGTTCTGATCCCTTGGATCCATGCTGTTCGTCTCCAGCTCCGCGAGCGGTTCGAGTCGGACTTTCCTGTCCTGCGTCTGCACTCTGACAGATGTGGTGAGTTCACCTCAGACCTCTTGCAGGCTTTTTGTGAGGAGAACGGCATCCGCCAGACGTTCACGCTTCCGGCCTCTCCGCAGCAGAATGGGGTTGCTGAGCGCCGCATTGGCTTAGTCATGGAGGTCGCTCGTACCTCCATGGTCCATGCGGCTGCCCCCCATTTTGTGTGGCCGTTTGCGGTCCGGTACGCCGCGCATCTGCTCAACCTCTGGCCCCGTGTCTCCTTGCCGATGACCTCGCCCACACTGCTGTGGATGGGGGAGGTTGGCGATGCGTCGCGATTCCGGGTCTGGGGTGCTCGTGCCTTTGTCCGCGATACCACCGTGGACAAGCTCTTTGCTCGCGCCATTCCCTGCGTCTTCCTTGGTTTTCCTCTTGACGAACCTGGCTGGCAGTTTTACGACCCCGCCTCACGTCGTGTCTCTGCGTCTCAGGACGTCACCTTTGACGAGTCAGTCCCCTTTTACCGTCTCTTTCCCTACTGCACTGCCCCTCGCCCCCCCCCGCCGCTCTTTCTCGTTCCAGGTCCTCCCCAGGTAGACCCCCTCCCCGCGCCAGGTCCTTCTCCTTCAGGTGTGTCTCAGGTAGACCCTCCCTTGCCTGAGCCTGTTGAGGTCACTTGTGACTCAGGTCCTGCTGGGGGTGGTCCTGCTTGGGGTGCTGGGCCTGGGGGTGCTGAGACTGGGGGTGCTGAGCCTGGAGGTGTTGTGCCTGAGCGTGAGGAGACTGGAGGTACTGCGTCTGGGGTTGCTGCGTCTGGGGGTGCTGAGCCTGAGCGTGAGGAGCCTGGGGGTGCTGAGTCTGGGGGTGCGGCGCCTGAGGGTACTGAGACTGCTGGTGCGCGGTCTCCTGGAGTGGCCGCCTTCGTCCGCGTGAGCCTCTCTCCCCACAGCAGCTGCACGAGTGGTACGCTCGCCGTCAGGGTCGCGCTACTGGAGCTCGGGGCTCTGCCGTTGGAGGCGCTTCTGCTGACGTCCCTGGAGCTGGGGGTGCTGGTTCAGAGGGTACTGGGGCTGGTGCGAGAGGAGCAAACGACGCTGGAGCCGCTGGGCCTGAGGACGCTGGAGCTGGTGGTATTGCTGCTGGTGGCGCTGGCGTTGGAGGTGCTGACGCTGGAGGTTCTGGAGCTGCTGGAGGCGCTGGAGCTACTGATGCTCGTGGCACTGCTTCGCAGCGGCTGTTCTTCTCTCCGCCGTCAGCGTCGTCTCTGCCGCCACCTAACACTGTGCTTTGCCAGGTTCTTAGCCTCCCGTCGTCTACTGGCCTCCCGTTACAGCCTGGCTCCCCCCTGCCTGCTCCCTCTCCTTACACTGAGCAGACAGGAGGTCTTACTGAGCGTCGCGAGCCTGCGTCCCGTCCTCCCTCGCCTGTTCGCACTGGTCGCACTGGTCGTGTTCCTCGTGAGCGTCCGCCTCCTGTCCCTGGCACGCACATTATGGCACTTCGTCCTTCCTCTGCTCCACAGTGTGTTCCCCTGCCGTCTCCTCCTGCGTCTTCTCTGCCTGACGTTGCGGACCCTGAGTCTGACTAGTTTCGTGCTGCCCACCCTACTGTCACACGTCTGTTAGCCACTGTTGTCACTGACCCGTCGTTTGAGTCTGCTGCTGCGTCTGCCTTGGTCGCTGACCTGGTTGACTTTGCTGCTGGCTGTCGTCTAAACTACACTGCTAGTTTTGTGCTGAGTCTGAGTCTGTCTGTCCTCCGTCCGTCGGGGGTGAGTGTGTTCCCGTCCGAAGGAAAGACTTTGGCTGTATTTAAAACTTGGGCTGTATTTAAAATTTCACGCCCTTTAACCGTATTGCACTCACTCACCCAAGATTTCGCGGTTTCGCATGTAGGCTGTAATTTAATATATCATAACGCTGGTTTGTTTCTAGTGTTTTGAAAGTATGCTATGGTATTTCCCTGTTTTTACCAATAGATGCCATGGAAACCTGCCAGATTCTCTAGGTTATGCACTGATCGTAAATACACGTTACACGCACCTTTTACACTCACAGAAAGGTGCAAAAAATATATAAATAATAATAAAAAATAACTGGCTGCAAATTCTGAAAGCCTCTCCAGCATTGCGAAGGGAAGGAGGTTACCGTAGGCTTGTTTGTTACATCCACAACATCCTAGAGTTGAGTTGTGAAGAGCAATACAGACTTGCCCAATTCACTGGCCCAGGAAGAAAACTTTGAGAGCCACAAACAGCGCTGCTTCGTATGCACGTTCCACATCCACTCCCCTTCACCCTCCCCTTCCCCCTCTGTTTTGCCAGACTCCTATCGGCCCCCTGTTGCCCACATGCCCATCCCACTAGCCCAGGAAGAGGACTTGGGCACCTTGAGAGGAGTAACCTCTGTTGCTTCATATGCCCACCCTATCCACATCCGCACCTTCTCCCTCGCCCATCTCTCTTTTCCTGACTATCGCCCCCCGTTGCCCACATGCCCATTCCACTAGCCCAGGAAGGGGTCTTGGGCACCTTGAGAGGCGCAAACGTCGTTGTCTCGTATGCCCCTTCCGCATCTGCACCCGATTCCCCCTCCTTTCTTTGTGTTGCCTGACTCCTATCGCCCCCCCGTTGCCCACATGTCCATCTCACTGGCCCAGGAAGGGGACTTGGGCACCTTGAGAGGGACAAACCGTGCTGCTTCATATACCCCTTCCACATCCACATCTTCCTCTCCTACCTCCACCCCCCCCATCCTATCCATCCCTTCCATCATCCCTTTCACACCCCCCCGTCGCATCACATTCACGAGCTCGTTCTCTGCAAAACTCATGCTCTCGCTCATGCTGACAGGGATCACTCCTTTCTCGATATAGTCCCTCCTCCCATCCGTTTTGCTCCTCCGCATAGGCACAACACCAATGTCGCCGTACCCATTACTGTCAAAAGCAGAAGCGCAACCACCACCACCACTAGCAGCAGTGGCAACAGCAGCGGAGGCAACTTCGCTCAACCCATCCCCATCCCTACTCCCCCTTCCCGAGCCTCCCCAGCTGCTTCGGACCCAGCTGCTTACCGAACCTGACAGGCGGCTCCCAGTCTGGGTTCGGGAGAACATACCAGCCCAGGAAGAGGAGAGGGAAGGGGAGGAGGAGAGCGTAGGGGAGGAAACACCTGCAGCCTCGTCAGGGGCAAAATCAAACAGCGAGTCAACTACCCGGGGTAATGGAGAGTTAACCGGAGCCTTAGCCTCGCCGCTTTTGAGCCGCTGCAGGTGTCTTCTCAGGGAAAAGCGACCCCCTTTGTGGCCGCCGCCGCTGCTGGTGCCACTGCCGCCACTCTCTGTGTATGCCTCTGCTTGGTGCTTCACCTGTGGCAAGAAAGGAACCGCACTGCTACCCTCAGTACCGCACTCAACCTGCATGTCAGCACCACCAACCCCACCAGAAGCGTTCTCGCCTTGCCCGTCCCGAGCGAACAAAGCATCTCGGCTCATCACGGCAGCATGCTCGTTCAGAGACCCGTCTCTGCTCATTCTCCCACCACTGCCATCCAGGCCCAATGCACCCTCCCTCCCATACGACCCATCCCGTCCAAACAAGCCGTCTTGCCCATACGCCCCGTCTTGCCCATACGCCCCGTCTTGCCCATACGACCCTTCTCGCCCAAACAGGCTGTTTCGGCTTTCCAAACCCCCCACACTCCCTCCATGAGTCCCCTTCCTCCCAGCATGAGCCTTCAGCACCCTCACTTCCCTGTCCGCCTCTGCGAGTTTGTCCCGACCTCCGCTCGAGCTTCGGCCGAACAGCCTGTCTCGGAAGCCTCGGCGCTTGGCTCGGGGGTCGTTCTCAGGTTCGGTTTCAGCCTCGGGCTCCTCCCAGACCTGTGGGTCTGGAGAGAGCGGTTGGACCAGGTCGAAGTGGTAAGCAGTTTGGAAAACAGGTTCGGGGCCAGGTTCGGCAAGGGACAAGGGGGCAAGGGAGGGATGTGGTGAGAAGGGAGGGAGGTGGGTGTAACGCGGTGTGCATGGGTTAGAAGGCAAGCGACTGGGTTGAGTGCGGCTGCGACTCAAAGGGGGGTAGCTAGGTACATCGTCCTCCTCTTCTAAATCCGCCTCCTCTATTCCCTCACATACCACCCCTCTTGCTCTCAGCCTACCCTCTCCTACACTCTTGCTCCTCCTCTCTAACCCTCGTTGCTCTCCTCCACACTCACTCCCCCCTCCAACCTCCCTACCCTTTCCATCTTCCTTCTCCCTTCCCCCACCCTCCACACCTCCCCCACTCCCCCCCTCAACACCTGTCTTGCTCTCGGCAGCTTTTCTCGCAGCAGCACGCTCCCTCGCCCTTCTCTCCCGCATAACCCTAATCTCCCTCTCCATCTCCCTCAGTGCCTCCTTCTCTCTCACCCTCTGCTGCTTCTCCCCTCCCTCCTCCTCTCCCCCTCCCTGCCTCCGCTTCTCGTCTGCTGCTCTCTGCGACCCCTGCCCCCTTCCCCCTTCCACTCCCCTCTCTCTCCCCTCCTCTATTCCACCTCGTGTGACTGCTTCACCCGTCCCTTTCCTCCTCCCTTTCCCTCCATCCTCACTTCTCCTGGGCTTGACGGGTTGAGTTGAGCCAATCTCCCCTTTCGCCCACTCTCTCTCCATCAGACTAGTCCCTCTGGGCGTGCGAGCAGGCATAGAGGCCTGTCTATGAGGCTGCTTGTGCCTCTCCCCCTGCTGCATCTGCTCCCTCCCCTCAACGGTGTTCTTAGCAAACATATCTGCAGTCGGGGCTGCATCTGTTTCTCTCTCTCCCTCTGCTGCGGCTCTTCCTGCAGCAGCTGACAACACTTCTAGTGCTGCGGCTTTCGCTGCTGCGCGTTCCCTCCGACTCATTGATCTCTGCAGCAGTAATCTCACCCGATTGCTTGGCTGCTGCCCTTCCTCCTGCTGCCCCTCTTCCTCCTGCCTCTGTTGCTGCTGCTGCTGTCTCTGCTTCTGCATTTGCTGCTGCTTCTGCTGCTGTGACCATGCCTCAATACGGCTACCCAACCCCCCTTGCACACTCACAGCACGGCGCAACCCTGTCCCCTCCACCGCCTCTCTCCCTCCCACAGCATCGTCTCCTCTCAATCCCCCGTCTCCCTTCCCCACAACCCCATCTCGCCCCGCTCCTCTTCCCTCACCCACCCGCTTTTGAGTTGACTCAGAAATCAGCCCATCCTGCCCCCGCCCCCCTCCGCTACGCGCAATCCCCCTTCTATCTGATTTTGATCGCACCAGCGGTTGACCCGAGTCAACCCTCTCCTCCTCCCATGCAGATATGACATCCCTGATTGATGCAGGTGGCTTTTGAGATTTCTCAGAAACCTCACGTCCCCGTCCTCTCCGCCCCGCCGCCCTCTTTTCAGGCTTTGACCGCACGAGTGGTGGACTCGAGTCAACCTCCTCCTCCTCCTCCTCCTCCCGGGCAGATGTGAAACTCCGGGCAGGCGCTAATTTTTCAAACACGCTGGGAGCGAAACCTAGTGGAGGGGAGGAGCCCGTAGGAGGGGAGCACTTGGCATTGAGCACACGCGCACCAGCACTAGCAGCACTGGCATCACTTGATTGCACCACCACGCACCCTTCCCGCCCAATCACATCCTCCTCATCCCCAAACACGTCCCACGCATTCAGCCGCTTCTTCCGCCCCCGCTCCCTCACGCTCCCTCCTTGCCTCGCCTCACCCCCTTTAGCTGCGCTTGCAAAGGGTGTCCCTAAAAAGGGTTGTTCTGCTGAGGGTTGCTCTGTGCAGGATTGGTCTGTTAAGGGCGAGAGGGAGCGGGAGAGGAGGCGTTCCGTGGAGGAGGTTTTTGATCGCCGCATGCAGTGCCGCCCTCTGCTCCTCGTGCTCGTACTGCTGGCAGCTTCTGTTTTGAGAGGCTCGAAAACTGAAGTGCTGCAGGCAGCTTCTGTTTTGAGAGGCTCAAAAACTGAAGTGCTGCGGGCAGCTTCTGTTTTGAGAGGCTCGAAAACCGAGCTGGTGCGGAAAGGTGAGCTTCTGCTTTCGTCTGACTGCGCTTGCATCTGCTGCTGCTGCTGCGTTTGTGACTGTGACTGTTGCTGCTGCTGTTTCTGTGGCTGCTGCTGCTGCATCAGCCCCTGCTGCTTCCCTCGCTCCATCCTCCCTCTCGTTGTCTCTGCTCGCGTCAGCTCCCCTGCTTGCACCTCTCCCGCACCACCCAACTCCCGAACCAAAACTCCTTTCCCAGGGGAGGGTGGCGAAGAGCCGAGCCTCTGATTAGAGGAGGTTCGGGATCGCCGCATTTGATAGCTTCGCCCACTTCCCTTTCTCTCGGCAGCAGTGGCAGCACCAGCAGCAGCAACACCTGCAGCAGCAGCACCACCAGCACCAGCAGCAGCACCAGCAGCAGCACTAGCAGCAGCAGCACCAGCAGCAGGTGTACTGCCTTTCAGCCTTGGGCCGGTATGCACTGCAACTTGCTGCCCTTTCTGCCCCTTCTGCTGCCCCTGCTGCTGCCCCTGCTGCTGTCCCTGTTGCGTCGTCTGCTGCTCCCCCCGCGTTACCTGCACTTGCTCGACTCGCCCTCTCATGGTCTCCACTCGTCGCATCACCACAGCATCGTGCTGCTGCTCCCCACCTGCTGCACCCCCACTACTTGCACCACCCATCACACCCTCCCCCCACATGGTCTCCACTCGTCGCATCGCCACACCTGCATGCTGCTGCTGCTCCTCCCCACCCACCATCGGACCCACAACTCGCTCCTCATATCTTTCCTCCGCACCCCCCTTGCCCATCTCACTCAGTTCAGAACCACTCCTTGCTCTCACTCTCATACCCCCAACCCCTCTCGCACCACCCCCTTTTCCACCCTCCACCCCTCTCGCACCTTCCATTCCTCTCCCAACCCCTTTCCCACTCTCACCTCCCATCCTCCTCTCACCACTCCTCACACCCTCCCCTCGCAGTGTCTCTGCTCGTCTCATCTCCACAACCTTCCCCTCGCCCATTCTATCCAGCTCGGACCCGCTTCTCACTCTCATCCCCATCCCTCCCATCCTCTTCTCACCCCCCGATCCTCCCATCCCTGCAACACCCCTCGCCTCATCCTGCCCTCGCAGCCCCTCACCTCGTCTCGTCCTCACACTCTCTCCTGTGCCTATCCCCCCACTCTCCCTTAGCCTCGCACCTTCACTCTCCTCCTCCCCAGAGCTGCCTATGCTCCTGCTCCTTTCTCTAAGCGTTGCTCTGCGTCCTGTGCCTACCCCCCCACTCTCCCTTAGCCTCGTGCCTTCACTTTCCTCCTCCCCTGAAGTGCTCCTGCTTCTGCTCCTCCAGGTACCATCTCCCACATCAGCAGCCGCCGCAGCAGCAGCAGCCGCAGCAGCAGCAGCAGCAGCAGCAGCAGCACCGCCACCACTACCACCACTCTTCCCCCGCCTCATCCCCTCACTCTCCTCCCCTGAAGTGCTCCTGAGTCTGCTCCTCCAGGCACCATCTCCCATATCAGCAGCAGCAGCAGTAGTAGCAGCAGCAGAAGAACCAACACCGCTCTCCCCTCGCCTCATCATCCCCACACTCTCCTCCTCCCCAGAGCTGCTCCTGCTCCTTTCTCTTCTCGTTGCTGCGTGTTGCTTCCCCGGACTCGGCGCTAATGACGTTGCACGGACGTCCACACCCTCCCCTCGCCTCGCCCCCACACTGTCCTCCTCCCCAGGGCTGCTTATGCTCCTTTCTCTATGTGTTGCTGTGTGTGCGACTCTCCCCGGACTTGGCTCTAGTATCGTTGCACACACATCCACACCGCAAGGAGACACCATCGCAGGAGACACGTTATACGGGGAGACACTGTGAGGAGAGACACTATAAGGAGACACGCTGTGAGGAGGCATGCTATAAGGAGACACGCTATAAGGAGACACATTGTGAGGAGGCGGCAGACAAGATGGGGACACACTGTAATGAGACACACTGTAAGGAGACACATTGTGAGGAGAGACACTGTGGGGAGACAGGCGGACAGGAGGGAAACCAGATGGGGACACACTGTGAGGGGAGAGACTGGAAACACTCTTTCCCCGTCGCTTAATTAAGCACTGCTCCTGCTCCACAGAATCATTCTGAGCCGCAGGATCTGCTTGGATTGATCTGGACCGTCCATGAAGCGTGTCCGCCCGCCTCATACCCCCCATTTCGCCCTGAGATATTAAATCCACTGAAATGGACCTCGCCCTCCCTCTGAGCGTCTCTGCTCGGCGCATCTCCCGATAATCTCCCCCATTCTGGACCGTTGGATCCACATGGGTGGGTAACGCCTTGGGTTCGCCCTGAGAGAGTAAATCCTCCGAGTTTTGAGACGTCTCAAAACTCTGGGGTTCGCCCTGAGAGGGTAAAATCACTGAATTGGATCTCGCCCTCCCCCTGAGCGTCTCTGATCGCCTCATCTCCCGATAATCGCCTTTCATCTGAGCCGTCGGATCCACGTGCATGGTTCCCGTCCATCCTCTCAGAGTCTCTGCTCGCCGCATTTCGATTGGCTGGTGCTGCTGCTCCGTAGCACCACCCAATAGGTCTGATCTCACGCTCCCTCTCACTGTCTCTGCTCGCCTCATCTCCAGCCTGCTTTGAATCTGAACCGTCGGATCCAACTGGGCAGATCTTGCCCGCCCTCTGAGCGTCTCAGATCGCCTCATGTCCCGGTAATCGCCTTTAATCTGAGCCGTCGGATCAACTTGCATGGTTTCAGGCCTCCCTCTCAGCGTCTCTGCTCGCCGCATTTCAACTGGCTTCTGCTGCTGCTGCTGCTGCTGCCGCTGCCACTGCTGCTGCTCTAAAGCACTACCCCTCAAGTCTGACCCCCGCCGCCCTCTAAGTGTCTCTGCTCGCCGCATATCAACTGGCTGTTGCTTCTCGACAGCACTATCCTTAGAGTAGGATTTAGACGCTCCTCTGAGCATCCTCCCTCCTCTCTCCCCCACTACCACTACCCTCTCTCTCCCCTCCTCTCCTTCCTCTCCCTCTCTCTTCTTGATCCTGGGGGAACTCTTGCTCCTCCTCATACCAGTAACAGGGTAACCAGGGCTCCGACCCGAGCTGCCTTGGTTCGGGGCCTCAGGCTCGGCAACCCCCCAGCCTGGGCCACTGGTCTGGTTCGGTGTAACAGGTACGGAGGCTCCCGAGCCTGGCTTCTTGGCTCGGGGGAGGGGAGAGCGGGGTGGGAGCCTGTGGGATGCTGGAACGGGGGAGATGCTGTTCCCAGCGGTTAGGGGCCTGCAGAGGGGTTTTCGGGGGGAAAGAGGGAGGGGGATTGGAAGGGAGGGGGGGGGGGGGGGGGGGGAGGGGGGGAGGTATATTGATGTGGGAGCCTGTGGGAAGCTGGAAGGGGGGAGGCGGTGCTTCCAGCGGATAGGGGCCTGCCAGGGAGGGTTGGGGGGACGGGGAGAGGGGAAAGAGGGGAGAAGAGGAAAAAGGGGGCGGGAGGTCAGGGGGGAGGGAGAGCGGGGTGGAAACCTGTGGGTTGCTGGAAGGGGGGAGGCGTTGCTCCCAGCAGATAGGGGCATGCAAGGAAAGATTGAGGGAGGGGGTGGAAGGGGGATTGGGGGAAAGGCGGGAGGAGGGGAGAGCGGGGCGGAAGCCTGTCGGAAGCTGGAAGGGGGGAGGCACTGCTTCCAGCAGTTGAGGGCCTGCAGGGGGGTGTTTGGGGGGAAGCGGAGAGAATGAGGGCGAGAGAAGGGGGGGGGAGTGGCGGAAAGAGGGCTGGAATGGGAAAGGGAAAGGGAGAGGCGCTGCTTCCAGCGGTTAGGGCCCAGAGCAGGGTTTGTGGGGAGAGGGGGTGAAGGGGGTTGAAGGAGCGGGGGAAGAGTGGGGAGAAGGGGGGAACGGGAGAGGACGGGGAGAGGCGCTGCTTCCAGCGGTTAGGGGCCTGCAGGGGATAATTAGGGGGGGTAGGGGAAGGGAGGGGGGGGAAGTGGGGAAAGGGGGTTGGGACGAGAGGAGGATGCGGGGAGCGTCCAGCAAATAGGGGCCTGAGGATGATTTTGAAGAGGTTGGGGGAAGGAGACCGGGGTAGGGAGAGGTGAAGAGGGTTAACAGGGGGAGGAAAGGGAAAAAGGGGGTGAGGGATGGGGGGAGCCGCTGCTTTCTCAAGCGGATAGGGGGCCTGCGTGAAAGTTTGGGAGGGTGAAGAGGGGGGGGAAGGGGTGAGGGGTTTGGGTGCGGTGAGGGAGTAATGGGGAAAGTCGCTGCTTCTGTTCACCCACCCTATCCCATTGCAATCAGTTAGTTTCTGAAAATACTCAAATCTGACTCCAACTATGACGACTCCACCACCCACCCACGATAACCACCACCACCACCACCACCACCACCACCACCACCACCACCACCACCACCACCACCACCACCACCACCGCCACCGCCACCGCCACCGCCACCGCCACCGCCACCGCCACCGCCACCGCCACCGCCACCGCCACCGCCACCGCCACCGCCACCGCCACCGCCACCGCCACCGCCACCGCCACCGCCACCGCCACCGCCACCGCCACCGCCACCGCCACCGCCACCGCCACCGCCACCGCCACCGCCACCGCCACCGCCACCGCCACCGCCACCGCCACCGCCACCGCCACCGCCACCGCCACCGCCACCGCCACCGCCACCGCCACCGCCACCGCCACCGCCACCGCCACCGCCACCGCCACCGCCACCGCCACCGCCACCGCCACCGCCACCGCCACCGCCACCGCCACCGCCACCGCCACCGCCACCGCCACCGCCACCGCCACCGCCACCGCCACCGCCACCGCCACCGCCACCGCCACCGCCACCGCCACCGCCACCGCCACCGCCACCGCCACCGCCACCGCCACCGCCACCGCCACCGCCACCACCCATGCACATCCTCCCTTGACCCCATCCCATGGAACTCACATAAAACATTTCTCTTCAGCCTCTGCGCCCTCCAATCTGCCCTCTTTCCCTCTGGTCTGCATCCCATTGGCCTGCCACTGAGGCTTTTAAAATGTCCCAGGAACCACCACCACCGTTCATCCACATGGAACTGATTTTTCCATTTTTGGGGTATTCTCAAAAAACTCACATGTGATATTCCTCGTCAACATTTGCACCCTCCAGTCTGCCCTCTTGCCCTCCGGTCTGCATCCACATGGAACTGATTTTTATTTTTATTCTCAAAGAACTCACATTAAATGTTCCTCGTCGTCAACATATGCGCCCTCGTGCCCTCTTGTCTGCCAAGCGCTGCTGCTGCCGCCGCAATCTCTTGCGCCATTACCATCCCTCGCATCCTCCCTTGACCCCCCTCCATCGCCCTCCTCCATGCCTTCCCCCACCCCCCTGCCTTCCGCCACCTCCCCCATCTTCTCCTCCATCATCCCCCCCATCGTCTCCCCCATCATCTCTCCCATCGTCTCCCCCATCATCCCCCCCTCCTCAATAAACGCCGAGTGATGCCACTCGCGCCACGTAGGCGAACAAAACTCCGCCTCGTCCTCCTCCTCTCCCTCCTCCCCCACTTCATCTTCACCCTCATCTTCCTCTCCTTCCTCTCCTTCCTCTCCTCTGCCCATCCCCCTCTCCCCTCTCCATCCCTCCCACCCTTCCCCCCTCCACCCCCTCTCCCCTTCCCCATCCCCTCCCTCTTCGCCAACCCACCCCTCCTCATCAAACCCTCTTCTTTCCCATCTCAATCCCTGCTGATATTCCCCCTCGTCCTCCTCCCCTCCCTTCAAAAACATTACCTCCTCCTCCCCAATCTCCTCCTCCCCAATCTCCTCCTCCCCCTCCTCGCCAATCTCTATCCCCTCCCAATCCATCCCACAGCTGGGACCAGGCGAAGGACTTGGGGAGGGCACTTCTAGAGATAGCACCTGCGCCCTTCCAGTTGCGCCTCCCCCAGATAGCACCTGCCCGCGTTCCGCCGCCCTCCCCATGAAGACCACCTGCGACCGTGGCGCAGGCGGTTCGATAAACAGCACCTCTGGTGGATGCTGAGTCAGCACCTGCTGACTCAGCACATGCTGAATCGGCACCTGCTGAGTCAGCACCTCTGGATCTCTCGTCTCGAAGGATAGCTCCTCCTGCGTTTCGCCTCCTCCTGGGCTCACCACTCCACCAGGCCGTCTTTTGAAACTACCTGCACCAGATCTACCTCCCCCTGGGCTGACCCGTGCAGCACTCGTACTGGATCTACCTCCCCCTGGGCTTGCCCCTGCACCTGCATCAGATCTACCTCCCCCTGGGCTTATCCCTGCACCAGCATCAGATCTACCTCCCCCTGGACTCACCACTCCATTACCTCCCCCTGCTGCTCCCGGACTGGCTCCCCCACCTCCCCCTCCCCTTCTCCTTCCCCCTCCCCCTCCCCCTCCGCCTCCCCCTCCCCCCGGACTAACCACAGCCGCGGCCCCTACAGACGGAGTAGGCGGACGGCCCCCCCGCCTCCCCTTCCCCCTGCCCCCCTTCCGCCCCGGAGTGGCCACAGCAGCAGCAGTGCCGGGGGCTCTTGGGGTGGTAACCGCCATGGTGGTGAGCGGTACCATGCGGTTCCGCATGGTGTGGGACCTTCGGGTGAACAACGCGGAAACGACTATCCCTGCTGCTACTGCGTCTGCTGGTGACGAGTCGGATGCGGCTGACGTGTCACCTGCTGCTGATGCTGCCAGCTCAGCAGCTGCCAGGTCAGCAGCCACGTCAGCACCAGAGACAATCTGAGCTTCAGCCCGCCATCTGTGCTCCCTTCCCCTTTCTCTCCCGGCCTCCCCTCTCCCTCCTCTCCCTCCCCCTCCCCCTACAGTCACACTGCTACAGTCGCTGCCATAAGATTCGGTTCGGGAAAAGGTGCTGCCAAACGTGCTGTCGAAGCTACCAGGTGGGCTCGGGGAGGAAAGCACAACTCGTCCGGACAAGGTTTGGGACCTCCGAGCCTGAAACGCAGCCTTGACTGTTGCCATTTCCCCCTCTGCTTCCCCCTCTGCTCCCCTCTCCCTCCCCTCCTCTAATCGCCCCGTTGCTTCCGCTTCCCCTTCCCCTTCCCCTTCCCCTTCCCATTCCCCTCCCCCGTCCCCCTCCCCGCTCCCCCTGTCCCATCCGCGCAGCTCCATAGACGCGCTGCTGGCGGTAGCCGCGCGCACGAACCTCCGCCGATGGCCCCCCGACCGGCTGTAGCGCGGCGCGCTGCTGCTAGAACTCCGCGCTACAGCCGCCGCAGCTGTAGCGTCGTTAGCTACTACAGCGGCGGCCGCGCTTTCACTCCTGGGTACTACAACCGCCGCAACGCCAGCGGCGGCGCCGCCGCCGCACGCTCCCCGAGCGACCGCGTTTGTAGCAGATCCGTTTGAAGCATATTCGCTTGTCTCAGTAATTCGGCTCTCAGGCGTCGCACTGACGGCGGTATCCGTAACGTCGTAGTTGGTTGTCGATCCTGAGCTACTAACGGAGACGCCACTATCGGGGACAGTACCAGCAGACTGATGCGCCTGATGCGACTGCCCCGCCGCCCCCGCACCAAACCCATTCTGCTGCAGCGCATCCCGACCGTCCAATTCTATCCCCTTACCATCGCCACTGTCCATCTTATCCACCCACTTAGCTAGTCTTCCTGCTTCCGCCGCCTCCCACACGTCTTGAATTGGCGCCTCAGGGAGACAGTTAGCATCCGCGCTCCGGCTCGTTATCCGCTGCACAAACTGCCTCCGCCGAGACACGTGCCCCTTCCGCGCATCGTCCTTGCGCGCTCCCCCTTTCCGTGCATCTTGCGCCGATCCCTGCGCTTCGCCGCGTGCCTTCCCCTGCGACGCCTTCAACTGTCCGTTCCGAGGAACTTCCGCCTCCTGCGCCGCGGGCCATCCTTGCGCGTCGCCGTGCGCTTGTGCTTGCGCTTCCCCCTGCTGCGCCTGCGCGCCCTGCCAGAGCGACAGTTGGCGCACCCACTCCAGGTGATGCGGGGACTTGGGACGCAGCGCCGGGGGACCCTCGCGGAGCGGGCGCTGCTCTGCGGGGCGCTGTTCCGAGGGGGATTTGCGCGCCTGTTCCACAGAAGACTTGCGCGGGAGGAATGAGGGGAGCGACGTCTTGCGCTCGAGGAGGGACGAGTGACTCGGCGCGGGGCCGACGGAAGAACACGCGGGGATGGCGGAAGGAAGGACCGCGGCGGTCTTTGGGCGTTCTAGCGGAGCGCCGCGCTCCTCCTTGCTGCTGCTGCGGAGCAACGGCAGATGCAGGATGCGAGGCATCGCGGACGGCTAGCCGGAAACTATCGTAAGAATTGCCAGGCGTTAAAGCCGGCCGTCACGGATAATGGTACCAGGGGAGACCTTTACCGGCCTTGACTTAATTTGTATCGATTCCGTGAATCCTTTCTCCCAATCTGTCACGCTAAGTGCCATTGTGATTGCGAAAAAAATAGCGCGTTACATGCTTTGCTGGAAAGCGCTGAAAGGGCGGCTTTTACTCGTTCAGAGCATCAGAGTTTTCCTGGATATCCGCCATTACATAATTATATCATTCTGTCGAGCAGACTCGGCAACGTCGCGGTCCAAAACTGCGCTAACCGACGGCTTCTAGGAGCACGACGACAGTCGTGACGTGATTCTAGTCAAAGCTTGGCTTGTCCGATACCAACGTTCGCATCAATACCCTGTGACCGCTACGCCAGCTTCGCAAAGACAGAAACTTCATCAGTCGTACACAGAGCAGGCACACAAAACGAAGCGAAGGCAGGGACAGAAGCAAACAGGTTGGTTTGGTTGGAGAAGTTAGCATCACAATGGGAGCTCCAACAAGGACGCATTCCAGGCCTCGTAACAAGTGAAAAAATTCAGCTTCAGCCGTCGCACACACCAAAGTTCCAGGTTGTGAAATCGCGTCACGGAATACGGAATTCTGTCGTAGAGAGTCGTAAACCTGTCGTCTGGTACGATTTGCCTGTTTGTAACAAGCAGGAATGCGCAGTTGGGTTTCTGTGCTGTGTAGAAGAATCAGGGAAGGTCCTACTTTTTTCAACTGTACGCAACTGTACATGATTTTGTGTTCCAAGGTGCAGATTCGAATTCTTTTACAATTTTGTGTGTGAAGATCAGTGTACACTGTACAGTACGCTGTTTTTGTGCGCCTGGAATATTAGGCACACCAGCACCAGTGATTCCAAAAATTGGACAGTCGATAACGTTCAATGTCGTGCATTTGTCCGTTGCCTTGAAATTGGACGTGGGTGGCATTCTCTGAAAGGACCCGCATAATCTCCAGGATAATGCCACACAGTGTCAACTACCGCCTGGTTGCTTGTGGCCCACAAAAGGTTCAATAGCCATACATACGTTGGAGTTTGCGAAATGCCAGTGTTGATGAGTTGGCGAAAATTATTTTCCATCGCAAAACAGCAACTGGCTAGCCAAACAACCAGTAACCAAATTGTTAGGAGTTATAAGTTGTTAAACAAAGTTGGGGGAATAAGTAGTATCTAAGCTGGGTTGACGACATGTTACGGGTGCAATGGAACGAGATAACGAGGATTGCACTAGGTGGTCAAAAGAGTACAAAGTATGACCGAAGGCATGAGCGAATACTTATGTGCGAACATGTAAACGGTAACGCTTGTGGGCGAGCTAGCTAGTGCGATGCTGGCGTTGAGGTTTGGGATAGTCCCGAAGCGTAGGCCAACACAGCCGGGCCAGCTATGCACCCTTTGGTGAATAGTGCACGCGAAGATTGGCAAAGCCTGGTTAGCAGTAACGGGCAAACAACGGCTGATGCTGTACGCAGTGTTGAAGCGCGCGGTAAAGAATGTCAAAAAAATACTTACACTGTCCCCCTCAAGAAGCCCCCTCAGCTATGCGAGTGCGTGTATATCACAAAAACCCCGGCTCCTCAGGTACACTTGCAGGGCAGGGTGGTTAATGTAGGCCAGGGGCACCCGGCAGTCTTCCGTGGGGGTGCGGTCCTTCAAGCGAACGCATAACTCAATCCTTTTCATTTCCGTGGGGTGACGGATCCGATGGCTCAGAATCTTTCCAGGCTCGACGATCGGCTCCGATGCAGGGCGAGTCATGGTCTCAGAAACTAAACACAGCGGAATGAGTTGTATTGGTTGGGTTGGGGTACAAATGCCTAACCCTAACTGTTTGTACCCCATATAGCATGACCCACTAGAGGCTATAACATTTGACACACCCCCATAGCCTAAGTGGGGAATGCCAAGCAACAAGAAACGCAACCTAAGGTCACAAGACCAGTCACAAGCAAGAGAGAAAACAAAGCTCAGGGTGGATCACAACGTCATCACACAGTCTGAGCACAAACAAAGGGCCACAAGGCCAGTTCAAGAGTATACAAGCTAATATATATGGTACACACACACAAGAGGCAAGAACTCACTACTGCAGTCTACTAGACCCAGTCTCAACGAGGCCTAACTGCAGACAAAACCGGCAGTGGTCACAAGGCTGAAGGGCCTTGGTGAAGATGCCTGCAGTGTTGGCCTCGGAGGCCACGAAGTCCAGACGAGCCTGTCCGCGTCTCTGCAACTCTCGAAGAAGAAAGTACCTGACGTCGATGTGCTTCACTCTGCTCTCCAGTCGAGGCTCACGACACAGGAGAATCATCGCCTTGTTGTCAGCAAACAAGGTCGGTGCAGAGCTCGGCCGCTCACCAAGGTCAGTGAGCAAGCCAGCGTAGCTCCTGTGCAGCAAGGGCTCCAGTGTAGATCTCGGCCTCTGCGGTAGAAGTCGCAACAGAAGAGGACCGAGTGGACCTCCACGAAACAGCTCCAGAGCCCAGGCTGAAACAGTAACCCTGCGTAGACCTCTGAGTCTCAACGTCGTCGGCGTAGGAGGAGTCGCAGTGACCGGTGAGTACAACTGGCTGTGTCCCTCCAAGTACAAGCCCCATGTGTGAGGATCTAGGATCGAGCTCAGAAAAGAGAATGTGAATTGAATGATCACCTGGGTACAAAACGAGGCTATATATAGGCTCGACACAAGGCCCCGTAACCAGGTGTTACGCGAAGGTTCCGCGGGTCGCGAAGCGTCCCGAACAGATCCTTCCCGAATTCGGTAGAAGGCAATTCGGTGGCAACCGAAAAGCCAGAATTCGGTGCACGCAACCTAGCTCGGTGCTATAACTATAATAAAATATAGGAAAGCACCTAGCCTAGGAAATCAAGCAATTCATGCATGCATATAATTTTCCTATGCTAGAAATAGCATAATAAAGTAAAGGCAAGCAAGCATAGCTGGCATAAGCCGTCGTACTCTCACACGTCCCCCCCTCAAAGCTGGGTGGCGTGAGATACACCCTGCTTGACAAGATAGTCCTTGAGAGCACGGCGTGCGTTGCCCATATCAGCTTCTGCAACCCAACTGTCCTCAGTGGGGTCGTATCCCTTCCAGCGTATCAGGAACTCGAGGGTCCTGCCGCCGCGGCGCCGATGAGAGAGGACGCGCTCAATCTCGTACTCGGTTTCGTCCTGCACAAGAACAGGTGGAGGTGGCGGTAGCTGCCGTCCCTGGAACTGTTGGTTGGGGTCCTTGTAGGGTTTCAGTAGCTGCACATGGAAAGCATTGTGAAGCTTCCACATATCTGGTAAGCGCAAGCGGAATGTAACTGGTGTCACATGTGCCTCAACGAGAAAAGGACCACAGAAGCGAGGCCGGAGTTTGGATGGGAGGTGAGACAGGTTCAAGTTGCGCGTGTCAAGAAGCACCTGATCTCCGACTGCTACTGAATGATCACGTCGCTGACGATCGGCATACTGCTTCTGGGAGGTCTGCATCGTGGTGAGTCGTCGCTGAGTCTTCTCCCATAGCTGCTGCATGGTGGTGACGAAGTCATGTGCGGCTTGGACGTGTGCCGGTGTGGTAGGCTGCTGTGGTGTGAGTGGTTCCCGTCCGTAACACAGGAAGAAAGGAGTTTTCCCTGTGGCCGCATGTGATGCGTTGTTGTAAGCAAACTCTAGGGTCGGTAACTGTGTGTCCCAGTGGCTGACGTCGTCCTTGCAAGCTGTGCGCAGTAACTGTTCAACCACTTGATTGAGTCGCTCTGTCTGTCCGTCAGTCTGTGGGTGGTATGCTGAGGACATCGCAAGTTTAGTCCCCAATAATCCCATGAGCTCCTTTCAAATCTTACTGGTGAATTTTGGGTCTCTGTCTGAGATGAGTGTAGCGGGGATGCCGTGGATGGTGATGATGCGGTCGAAGAAGAGGCGAGCAGTTGCTTCTGCTGTGGCGGTGGCGTTGGTCGGTAGGAAGTGCCCCATTTTGGAGAACTTATCGATGACTACGAGGATGGAATTGTCAGAACATTATAGCTCATGCATATTGTGTAGGCTATAGTGGGGTAGCCCATAAGGGGTACAACCCAATTAGGGTTAGTACTTGTACCCAATTCATTCATAGTTCATCACTTCTTGTTTCTTCTCATGGTATCGAGCAGGTTCCCTAGTCGGAACGCTTCCTAGGGCCCACCACGAATTTTTTTTTTTTTCCTGCCCGGAGCGCGCTTCGCTCCCACAGTCGCGCCCTCTCACGACCCCTCACGGCCCCTCGCGTCGCCCTTAGCGGCCCCTTACGGCCCCTCGCGCCGTCCCTTACGGCCCCTAGCGCGGCCCCTTACGGCCCCTTAAGGCCCCTAGCGCGGCCCCTTACGGCCCCTTACGGCCTCTCGTGCCGCCCGTCGGCCCCTTACGGCCCCTTACGGCCCCTCGCGCGACCCCTTACGGCCCCTTACGGCCCCTCGCGCCGCCCGTCGGCCCCTCGCACCGCCCTCAGCGGCCCCTTACGGCCCCTTACGGCCCCTCGCGCCGCCCCTTACGGCCCCTTCCGCGGCCCCTCGCGCCGCCCCTTCACGGCCCGTCGCCGCCCTCCGCGGCCCCTCGCGCCGCCCCTTCACGGCCCGTCGCCGCCCTCCGCGGCTCCTCGCGTCGCGGCCCCTCGCGCCGTCCCTTACGGCCCCTCGCGCGGCCCCTTACGCCCCTTACGGCCCCTTATGCCCCTTCCGGCCCACTGTCGCCGCCCCTACCGCAGCGGCCGCCGCCGTCCCTCCTGCAGCAGCCGCAGCCGTTGCCAGCAGCAGCCGCCACCACCTCCCTCGGGGCCGCGGCTGCTGCCGCAGCTGACTGCACCCGCCGACGCCGCTCCACTCGGCCCCGCCGCCGCTCCCCATGCGGCCTCGCCGCGCCACCTGAGCCGCCCGTACCGCCGAGCCGCCGTACCGCCCGAGCCGTCGTACCGCCCGAGCC